TAGTAACAGCACTAGAAAACTGGAGTTGAACTGGAGAGCAAGAAGAAGTAATTATTAATGAAGCTGGGCAGTATTTACTGGATTTTACTCCAGCTAAAGCAGTAGAAGCCTCAGCTGTCCTTCCGTACAAAAACTTTTCCAGAGAGAGAGAGAGAGAGAGCGCAAGTACAAGAGATACCTCATTGACATAAAATTTCACATGCTCGACAGTGAATTGATTTTATACTGAGCCACGTCTCTGGAGAACTAAGAATTTTTTGTCTATCCTGTCTGTATCTCTGTATTTTACACACACGTCTGCATGCACACATACACACAGTGTATACTTATATAATGTATATGTATAAGTAAAGTTGTTTGATTTATTTAATCAATCAGATTACTCTGACTCTGTATAGAAAATGATTTAGAGAAAGCTGGATAACAGAAGTCTTGCAACATTGTTTCAAAAGTACTGTCTTCTACATGTAGCTGTCTTTGAAACATTTTTTTCAAGAGCAATCCTGTTAGTTTAGATGTTGCCTTCATGTGGACATTGCAGCTTGTCCATAGAAGTGGGGGGTACTTTTCCTATAGTTTTCAATCAATAAAAGGAAGAATAACTTTCCCAGATAATTTCACTCATGGCTGGAGGAGTTGATTTTTTTTTAAAAAAACAGTCATTTAAAAATACAAGTCACCCAGAAAGAAATCTAAAAAAATGTGTTGTTGAAGGCTTTCATGGCCAGAGTTCATTAGTTGTTGTATATTTTCCGGGCTGTATGGCCGTGGTCTTGGCATTGCAGTACCTGACGTTTCGCCAGCAGCTGTGACTGACATCCTCAGAGGTATAACACAGAAAGATGGAGTACATTGACAAAAAAGCTTCTGCCCTGAAATTCTTGTTGGGTCTCTAAGGTGCTACTGGACTTGAATCTTACTGTTTTAGCATAAAGCTTTCAGATCTAGGCAAGCCTGGCCAAACTTGTTAAAATATTCTACCTTATAAAGCAAATATAAACATTCAGTGGGGGGAAAACCTTGAAGCAGAGATAATTTGGAGAAACTCTACCTTCAGTAGCTGAGCGTAGTAGCTTTAAGTTCGTTAGAAATCTTTGAGTCAAGTTCCATTAACAGAATATCATATATATCTGGCTTTTTAATGCAAGAAGTATATTATTGTACTAGCAGTGGGAGACCCATAGAAACATCCTATTCTCCCCTTCTGCAGCTGTTCTGGCCCCACCTGGTTGTGATAAACAGCTACTTGAGGCAATCTGATTAGGGGGGTCTCAGCTTGGAGTGGAATGTGTGTCTTGCTTGATTAGCTGGCTGGCAGTTGCTGGGAGACAGAGATTTAGAGTGAAAAGCATCTGTTACACACTTCCCATCTCCAAGCCTTCCTCTCGGCCACCACCAGCCAGGTGATAGTTAGGCTTGGAGGTGGTAAGCATGTGGGACCTGCTGATTAGCTGGTTGGTGGTGCTGGCATTCAGAGCAGAAAGCACCTGTGGTACATTTTCTGCTTAAAGCCATCTGCATCCAAGATGACTGTGACAGCTCATGATGTAGGTTCATAAGACTTCGTTCAGAATTTTTCATTTGAATTCTTTGGGGAGGATTTAAACCTCCCTTTTTAGTTTTGGGACTTTGCTGCAAACCTGGATTTCGAGGTTTATAGAAACATCTCCCTGGTCTGTACACGGTCCCATGATGCAGATTTTTTGATCCACACTCTGGGGCCAAGTTCAGAATCCAATATATTACATAATTTTAATTTTTAAATTATCTGGATATGTTAAATGAATGACATTTCATTTTAGGCTTCTTAAATATGTGCCATATTTGAAAAAGATGGCAGCACTCTGCATGTCACAGTATGTACTAAAATATATTAACATCTTACCCATTAAATCTCTATAGGTTTTCTTTCAGAAACTCTTAATAAAACTTGAGTTGTAGCTGAGCTTTAAATTACCTCATAGTAATTACCAGGGGAAGTTATTTATATGCAGTCATTCATATGGGTCCACCCCACCCAGTCCTGTAGCCATGGTGGTGCAAAAAGGGATGGTGACCTATCAATCATTTGTCATGCCCCTCCAATCAGCATTGCAGGTTGGTGTGAAATCTGTCACACTTCTTTCAGGTGTAAATTTTATTTGTAAAAAGGGAAGGAGTTGAGGTAAAAAGTGTGAATCCTGTCATAAACCTTCCAAGGGCGAATTCTCTATGTAATTGACTAGAACAGAATTAGCAGTTAGCAGGGCTGAAGAGTCCTGATTTTAAAAGCCTTCAGGGGTGTTGGGTGGGATCGTTAGAAGCCCTGAGTTAGTGATTTACAGAGAAAATAAGGTTATATTTACAGTTTCAGGTTTCAGTAACTGGAAGACGGCTCTCACACTTCTTTAATTCTGCAAACTATATAAAATAGTTGCTTGGGAGGGCATTTTTATAAAGTTTATATAGAACAGGATTGTAGTCTATGCCACAGTGTATGCTATATGTTATTGATTTGTTGTATGTTCTATCATGTTCTTGCAGCATTGCTTTCATTTTTTGTAATTACATTTTCTGCATAGCTTAACACAGCGTGTTTGATATTCTTTTTGCATTGTAATTTTTGTACGCCTAGTCCTATTGCATTTTATTAGATCTCTCATGCTGTTTGATTACAATGTTCTATACCATGTAATTCACTTTGAGTCTCAAGTAGAAAATCAGTAAATAATAAAGTATAAATAATAAATAAATAATGATGGACTGACCACCACTGTACTCATTTGACCCCCTCCAATTAAAAAAAAATCTGGCTGTGGGCCTGACCCCACCCATCCCCCACACGACCTTTCAGGCAATTGCAGATTGTTCTGAATAAAGAACAATTTCTTTTCTGTTCTGGTTCCATTTCTTCATTATGAGAAGCCTGAAGAGATTTTGATTTATGACGTGGACATTGCTTAGTTGTAGAGCTCATGCTTTGCAAGCAGAAAGAACCAGTTTGAATTCTTGGCATTCTCTCCTTAAAAAGGATTTAAGACAGCAGGGCATAGAATGCCTTTTTGCTGAGTCCCTGTTTTCAGCTGAAGTGGATAGTACTGGGATAGCTGGCCCAGTGTTCTGACATGGTGTAACCAACTTTACATAATCATGTGGCCTTTTTTTTTTTTTTGCCTCCTAGCTTTGCCTGCCAATTCAGTCATTCCTCATGATCAAAATGCCCAAGTTGTCCAAAATAAGAGTTGACACAGTCCTGAAAAGTGCATCACAAATACTTCGTTTGCTTATTCACAGATCTGTCAACCCCTGACAGTATATCCAAATCGTACAAAATCTATATTTCGCTCGTGACAATTACTATCTTGAAATAATATCAAGGATATAAACTGAACATTCTTTTTAAAAAACCAAATCGAAGGATACCATTTCCCTGATCTCATGCAGATTGTGATTCATACTGGGGCAAGAAGCGTTATTTAATTTCTATTCAGAGTGCTAGACAGATGGCTAGATGTTTTATAAATAGTAGGAATGATAATAATGATACATCAAAAAGTGTCAGTCTGCTGCAGGCTAAATCAGTTCTGTTTAAACATAAGCTATGTTTTTTATTATTATTTTTTCATTGCCATGGCTTCTGTGCAGTCCCACTGCATGATTGCAGGCCAGCCACAGAGAAGAGCTTCCAAGCTGTTTAAAGATGTTTCTAGGCTCTAGGAGTACTCCCACTCCCCTCTGTCTACAAAGATCCCTTTCCCTCTCGAAGGGTCACATGACGGAGGCAGGACGACCACTCCTCCCTCAGTTCTCTTCTTTCCACCTTGAGGAGAGGACGTACTTCTAGAACTGCTTCATGAGGCCTCAAAAGTGAAGTCTAGTGAGGTTTTTCCCCACAAAGAAAATTCAAAACTCTAGCCTACAAACTGGTAGAATGGCTCTTTTCAAAAAATGTGAAGATTGTGGAGCGAAAACGGCCCAAAATGATGATCTAGATCATGTCTTTTATGATTGGGAGGAGGCCACAATATGGCTACTTGCCCAGCATGCCACCGACTTACCCCTAAAGCCCGAGAGAGCAGGGCTCCAAGGCTTAAGGCTGCACTATAAGAGAAAACCCTGGTGCTCCAGACCCCTGTGGGGAAAAGCAGACCCAAACCAACAAGGGAGTG